AGGCCCCCACTGTCACATTCCAGCAGAATAATAAAGTTTGGCTGCGATTGGGACTGCCTGTCCTGCAGGGGGGTGGCTGATCAGCCCAGAAAGGGGTCAGTGGTGGGGAGAGAAAATTAAAAAGAGAGCGAGGGAGGCAGAGCAAGGCCAAGGATGGGTTACCCTCTAAGCCAGTTAAGCAGATAAAGCTATTTTTAGGAAGAAGGAGCAGGATGGGAAGAGCCTGTCAGCAAAAAATAAAAATAAAAATACAAATAAAACCCACCCTGTGCCTTACCTTCAGAATGCAGCTCTTCCCATAAACAGGGGCTGCAGCCGGAGCTGAGAAGAAAAAGCAGCAGAAAATAATCAATCAGGAAATGAAATCAGACCTCAGCCTGGTCCTGAGACGAGAGGAGGAGGAGGAGGAGGAAGAAGGAGAGCCGGCAGCCCCCGTGTGCCCGTGAGCTGTCCAAAGGCTCTTGGGACTGTGTGCAGGGAGGCAGGGAGCGCGCACCATTGGCCGTGCAGCCGCCGCCACAGCCTATGGAACAGCAGTGCTTTGGCGCGTGTGTGCCGTGCACTGAACCCACACGCACACACTCCCAGGGACACACACCAAGATGGCTTTCCTTCCCGGTGCTCCTTTTCTCTCCCACCGAGCATCAGCCTCCAGGCCTGAGTGCTGATGGAGACGGGTGGAAGGACGAAGCTGCAGGCTGTGCTTCAGGGCTCCGATGCAGGGAAATTTTAAAAAAAGGAGGGGGGCAGGTGGGCCAGGAGGCTGGGAAGGGCTAGTCGGATGAAAGTTCAGCTCTCCTCCCTGCCGGGGCTAGCCCAGGACAGCTTCAACAGGTCGGGGCAAACCTATCAGGAAACCTAGCGGAGGGCCTGGAATGAGAAGCTTACAAGGATAAGGGGACAGGTTGGCCCCTGCCTAAATCTTCCTTTTAAAACCTCCCTGTCAGCTGGAGATGCCTCTACATTCCCAATCCAGAAGGGTATGACGTGGGGATTAGCTGGATGGTCCTTCTCGGCCCCCACCCCCTTCGACCAAAGACGGCTGCCGTCCACTTGCATCCCCAATTTGCAACTTCTCGCTGGGTGATCAGGCAGCTGCCTAGCAACTGGGAGAAGGAGGAGGATGAAAGGAGAGACCTCTTTATGTGCTAAAGGAAAAGGAACTCCTGAATCCTCTTGGAGATGGAAGCCAAACCTTTCAGCCCTTGGGGGGGAAAAAGAAATAAATGATGGGAACACCGCCGTCTCAGCCAAAGTGAGATCTGATGTGTTTGGGTTGGGCAAGGTGAGATGAATGGGAGATGGGTGGATTTAAAAGAAAATGGTTTCAGATCTCTTCTTGTATTCACGCCAAGAGGTAATGATAAACGTAAGAGCCTGGCTCGTTATTTCAAGCAAATGACTTTTCTACGGCCCAGATTCTTGCATGCCTTTTGCAAATGACGTTCTTCAACGGAAGGGGCAACGGAAGGTAGCTTTCAAAGCCTACTGCCCAGCACACCTTGCTTGTCCATAAAATGGATGCAGATGCCCCAATAGATAGGATAGACCAGTGTTTCTCAACCTTGGTGCCTTTAAGATGGGTGGACTTCAACTCCCAGAATTCTGGGAGTTGAAGTCCATCCATCCTAAAGGTGCCAAGGTTGAGAAACATGGGGATAGACAGCCATAAGAGTTCTCAGCTGTAGCTCCACCAGACCTTTCTGCAAGGTCAGAATATTCCTTCCAATAGGAAACTTACTCCTGCTATCATTAAACTACTTATATCCTGAGTCAGACTGTTCATCTACAGGACACATTAGGAGCCACCTCTTACTAGGACACAGAAGGGAGATATTTGAAAATACCACCAAGATAACCCAAGGTGGTAGGCTGATCATTTTAGGCCAGTGGACAGATCTGGAATCTAGAAGAATGCGATGCAATTTTCTACCAACTCTTACTGCTTTTTCTTTCTTTTTTTCATGCCAGGTTGGCAGAGTTTGAGGAAAATCTCTGAGCAGCACCAGCTTGGGTCTTTCCTTTTCTAAGAAGGCCCATAGGGCCGGGTGGGAACCAGAAGCATTCTTGGAAATAAAGGCAATGCTAGAGGTTCTGGCTTTGATTTGCTCCTCCTGTCGTAATTTTATAACTCAACATGAATCTTTCTTTCTGGGTTGTCACTCAGCCATTATGGGCTGAATGTTACATTACAGTTTCAATTTACGAGGGGGCTTCTCACAATTATTTTCCCTGGTCTTCTGGAATGGTGAGTGATCTCATGCTACTGGATTATACTTCATGGACAAAACCCAGCAGTGTTATAGAAGTGGATCTTCTTGCAGGCTTGTTTGATTTCTCAGTTCAACTGACAGCTCTCCCATGCCTTGGTGACTTTTCTTCCAATTCTTAAACAGGCCCAAAATAAAAAGAACTTTTTTAAGGAGCTCTGGAAGCTGAACAGGACATTTCTGAAATCAGGGGGGTATACCTCTGAACTAGGATCTAGCAGCTGATAAAAGAACCTGTTTGGGTGCATATCAGTAATGATTAAAACAGTAAAATGGCTTCTAAACATTCACAGATTTTCAGTTTAAAAAGATGGCAGTCCCTCTGGGTATCATTATTTATCCCTGGCACATCCAAGCTGATTCCAAAGGCTCTCCACTTGGATCTCTAGGACCTAGAAGCACAAGAAAGCCAAACATGGACATCTTGAGATTCCCCATCAATGGGGCCTGTTTTCTTCTTCAGCCGAGATTTTTGGGTCATTATTTTTCATATCTGAGTGAGTTGTTGTTGAAGACTTGCTGCTAATTTTTCAGTTACTTAAGCATTCTGATACCCACAGAAAGCACCAGACTGGAAGATGCTGAGTTAATCCAAAATTCTTCCTTGCCCAAATGCAGAACCTTTTGCGAAAGGCATTAGAATGGTCTGTTTCTGCAACTGACACTGGAGCCAGGATCCTAGATGTCACCAACTTGACCAATGATGAGACATGTTGAGTCTTCAGCAACACCTGGAGGAAACGGTTCCCACCTCCCTCTTTGCCAAGTGAATGAGAAGGCACCCCTTTTCAGACACATTACATCCTCCAGTGGATCTATGGGGTGTTGCAGTTAGGCCCAACTGGAGAGACAAAGGTCCAGATATTCATTGCAGCCATCAAGCTAACTTGGGTGATCTTGAGGCCATCAGCATCTCAGATAGAACTGGTGGAGTAAAAGCAGGGAGACAACAATATCTGGTCAAAATGTTGGCATTCCTCCCAAGTTAGGGATAGGGGTAGCTATCAAAATGAATAAAGGCCCACAGTACATGGCAGCTCCTGGTTAAACCTTGGCTGGTCCAAAAAAGCTAAGCTGGAGCGGGCCCACTTAATCTGCAGATGGGAGACTGCCGTAAAACCCCATGGATGTCTGATAGTCATCAAGGTTTGGGGGGGGGTGGTGGTGGTGGTGGGGAACCTTTCCTGCGAAAGACAACGGCCAATCAACTCATTGCTAGTGCTAAGGAGACTACATGGATGTGTCTTTGACGCAAGGAAAAAGAGTCCAGGTGCCCTCTACTGTCAAATCACAATCTGTGCAGCTGACAAAGTCCTTCCAACCTGAAAAAAAAAAGGGGGGGGGAGGAGTGATAAAACTCACTCAGAAAGAAGCTAGGAAGAATTTCAAGGCAAAAACTTGAACATTATTAAATGGAAGGGCCAAAATATATATATATATCTTCCAGTTTCTACCTTCTCAGGCCTCGGAGTAACTTGGAAACAAGTGAATCTAGTAATTCTGATGGAGCTGTTCAGAAGGTGTCCTTCTGAAGACCAAAGAACACAGGCTGCTCAGATTTCCTGTTATAATTACAGCTCCTTGGGTATCCAGATATCAGGGTTAAACCCTGAGTGCACCATACGTGTTTCTCTTGTTTATTGAGTTGAACGTGTACGCTTTATGTCTGTATTTTATTTCACTGCTCTAATGGCATGAGCTGACTTGTTTGCTCCAGCCATATGTACAAAGAGAAATAAAGGAGACACCTACTTCAACACAAGATGAGGGGCTGCAGGACCATGAACTTATGAACTTGGCTAGGTTCTTCTTAAGATATCACTACTTTTAGAGACGAGGGATTATTAGACAAGATCCTGAACCACTCCCACGCTGTAGAACTCATTCATTAGGATTCTTCTAGTCCACTTTTAGAAAGGGCTTTACAACACAGCTCTTAATCTGGGCTATTTAGAACTGTTTTGTTTAAAACAATAACTTCTTTGTTTATTGAGTTGAACGTGTACGCTTTATTTATGTCTGTATTTTATTTCATTGCTCTAATGGCATGAGCTGTCTTGAACGTTCTTGACGGTTGACAAGAGAGAGAAATCAAATGAGTGAAATAAAACGGGAGGGGCCTGCTTGGAGAAAGTTGTACTTCCAGCAAATGCAACTTCCATTTTCTCATTTCTTTCCAGAATTCCAAAACTGTATAGACTATCCTTAGGTTCATGCTATTATATGTCTAGTGCCAAGCTGTCCCATTTTAAAACCTTCAAGAATTTACGCACATCAGAAGGTAGACGGATATTTCAAAATGCCACTTCCTAAAATTAGTGCTGAGGTCACGAAATGCATACAAAATACGTCTTCAATATATGTAAACAAACTGTAAGTTCCAGGAAACGGATTAGTTGCAAGGTAAAATAAACCTGTAATTATTATTTAATTAAAACACAGAAATAAGCATTTCAAAGCATGTTTTGTTAAAAAACAAGAAAGGCACCTATCACAATTTATTTCACTTTCAGCATAAATATCTACATATATATTTTAACAATAAGAAAGCAAATCCCCGTTACATATACATATATTTACAGAAATAATACCATACAAAAAAACAAAACAGTAAAGCCAGATTAAGATACAACTTGTTTCAGTTGCCTCTGAATTGTTTAAAAATTCTTAACAGCTGGACATTTCGGCCCCAGATCTAGAGGAAAATATGTAACCAACACCCCATTAAAACCCGTGGGACTTCAGTGCAACCTTTAAACAGAGGCCTTTGCAAACCCTGTCATCTTTTGGAGTCACATCTTCCAACAAAATCAGTGTTTTATTCAAGATAAAAGTATTAGAAAGGAAATTACAAAGACATTTATTCCTAATTATTCCTCAGCTTGTTGGCAACAAGGAAGCAAGAATTTAATGTGCTGGAGCCAACACTAATGCAATCCCAACATTTACTCTGTTAGTAGGTAGCCCTCCCCTCCGTATTCCAGCTTGGATGAGTCCAGAAATAAAATCCAAGCTCAACTCAAGCTAAACTCAAGAAGGCATGGGTATCTTTGTTCTCCATTATTAGACTTCTGTGCGCAACCTGCAGAATTGCTTTGAGGCACTTGCTCTGCTAAATGTATGGGGAGTTGCACAAGAACCTTTGCAAAGTCACAGGGGCCGAGTCACCCAAGAGAACCTGTTTCACACAAACTAGTCTCTTCAACTGAAGGGGTTCAAAGATGCAGACAGAGGTCATTCCCATAGTAGGTGTGCGCTGCAGAGCAAAGGTAGCTTGAAATCAGGTGCAAACGCCCCCCTCCCACCCATCTCAACGGGGCCATGCTGTTTGAGGGTTTTGAAACAAAAATCTGAACAGACTGAAATAGACACACACAAAACAAAATAGCTTAGTAAACTTCACAGTGTATCTTTAGGACAAGAAAGGCTTGGTTCATGCATTACACTAAAGCTGGATTTAGTGTTAGTTTTGCACGGCAGCAGGAAGATGGCTGAGAATTAGGACCCCACGTTCTTTCTTCGTCCTCTACCTGTCTGGCTCATAAGAATCAAGTCAAGGTTAATTTCATTTTGAAGGGCAACTGGTTTATTGCGAACTTCAGTTGACAGGGGATGGTTTAAAACTAACTTTGGTCAGTTCAAAACATGTCAATGTCAAGTATGGGTTGATTGGCTAGCTGGTTTAACTGACCAGAGTCTGCTTTAAACTAGGATCTCTGGCTCAAGTGTAATGCCAAGCCACTTTCGGTATAAAAGGGAAGAAAATCTGGGAGAAAATTTTGCTCAGCCAGAGGACAGATGAGTATGAGGACTGAATTCTAGCCCTGGTTTGCTCCAGCTTTATGTGTGAACCAGATCAGTGTTTTACAACAAGTAAACTAACATTATTGAACAACAGTGCTGATATTTTTCAAAAATAATTCAGGGATTCACTGCTAAAAAAAGGAGGCACTTAAGATTTCCACCCGTTGCCTTGAAGCTATTAAAATGTTAAAACATTGTGTTTACCAATATTATGTGGTTTTAAGTTGATTTAAAATACATTAAAACTGGAGACAAGAGAAAGCAATTGTACGCCTCAACCTTAATCACATTTACTTAAAGATAAATTCAGTTATTATCATGGAACATACCTCTAAAACATAGCATTTAGGACTACCGTCAACTGCAAATATGGCTGCTTTAATTTCAAACAAGACCGTTAGGTGAGCTGAAGACAAACTGCAGAAACCGTTTCTGGGTAACGAATCTACTCATTTCTGACCGGTAACACTGATGTACTGGAAGTTACAACTCATCATATATAGGTGTGCATGTATGTAAATTAAAGCAGCCTTTAAAGTGAGTTCATATCAGAGGCTTTCCAGCTTCTTTCACATTTGGTTCAGATCTGCAGATATCCAAGCATTAGAGTCCTACAAGCTCTTAACAGCTACTGACTTTCCCATCTCTGAAAAAAGAAAACCGGGTTATGGCAAAAGAAGGCATCTTGATGAGAACTTGGTTTCCCTGCGTAAGTGTTTCGGGAGATTCTCAACCTCCGAATATAGGCTGGTGGCTATGAGAAGTGCGCTGCTAGGATAATTCCAAGGATTACAATCAAGACAGTTACACAGATTAGCATGAACATCAGTTTCTGCAAAGAGAGGGGAAACTACGATTAGCTCATCCCCAAATAGGTATACATAGATGTAAAAAAAACGAAGAGGTGAGGAGTGACCTTGGGCCTCTTAATCATAACCATACAAAGTGTAGCAATTTCACCCATGGGCAAGGAGAACGGGGAAGCTGAATGATCTGAAGAATCATCTCCTCCGAGCAAAGATCCGCTAAAATCTAATATGTGTGGATCAGGAGGGATTACAGACTGTGATCTTAATCCTCAATCTCCCTTCATCCCCATCCTCTTCTAAACTGATGAAGAACTCTCTGTAAAAGCCAAATGTCCATATTCCTAGCCTCTCAAAAGGGGCCCAAGGAAAGCAGCGCCAACTCGTTGGTTTTTTTTACCCCGTGGAATATTTGAAGGCAAGAGAAAACACTTAGGGCAATTAGCCACTAGAGGTCTCGGTCCCCATGCAAAATCTGCTTTTTCGCTTTCAGACCTGCTGTGGCTGGGAACGCGAGTGCGCAACAGCGCTGCCGTGTTACATGGGCCCCTGTTCACGAAAAGGTTAATGGGCAAGGCCGGTTAGTTGATTAGTACTTACGGAGAGGTAGCAGGGAGAGATGCCCATGGACAGCATCTAAGCATCACGGCACCCCGACCGCCAAGCCAATTATTAGAGCGAGTACAACTAAGAGCACCAGCACAACAATGAGAATAATCCATTTTTTCTGCCAAAGGAAAGCAAGGCGCGTCTCTCAGTTTTGCAGAAGGTGGGTTAAGGGTTTGGGGTTCTGGACTTCAGGCAGGCAGGAGAGGAAGTCAGACGCAGCTGCTAGTCCTCAAACTGTCCTTCCTGGAGTGAGGTGGGAAGGGTGGGGGTGCTGGAAGGGCTGTTGCAAGACAACACAAATGCAACAACATTCAGAAATGGCTGATTGGGGAAGCCTGCTTAGCCGACAGGCAAACTTACTCTACGAGCTTTGCTTTGATATTTGATGGCCTTCCTCGTCTCTTCTTTCGCGTGCCCGACGTAGTCCACGGCGTTCATCACGTTCTTCTCAATACTGTTGACCATTTCGCCCTTCAGGTTAAAGCCAGACAACACACAACAACGACAACAATGACAAAAAGGGGTTGGCCATTAATGTCATCTTCTGGAGTCCTGTCAGCCACCAAGAATTGAGACTGAAACCCGTTCAAATCCGTCTAGGACGGGGATGATTACAGGAGCGTGACCGACTACGATGAAGGCATTCGCAGAAACGAAGATGAAAATGTTATGCGGGTTCTACTTATTTATTTAAATATTTTGAATTTCACTTAGATCCCAGGGAATCACATCAACAAGCAGGGAGGAAAAATAGTAAAAACTGGAAGCTTAATTACAAAGATGAAATTTACTTTGCAGACCTTGTTCAATACAGATATTCTAATAGGGGTGACTCAAAAAAATTCTATTTATATTATCTATCTACCGGAATCCAGCTATTAACCACAGCCCTGCCTGGCAATTATAATTTTAACCTGCTGTGAGGGCTAAAGTTTATGAGCTTTAAGCCAACAACAATCCAGAGAAAAGAGCAAGAAGCCAGCTCAGCTTGTATAAATAAAATTAATTTATTTCTCTCTTTGGAATACTAGATTGCTCCCTGGGGCAATCTGTCACTTGAGGAAAAGGTTCCCAGAAACATCTGTGCAATTAAGCCTCTCTGCTTTACTGCCCTGTGCATATCTGCAAACCCCCTTTTACATTTTCCTAGTTCTTTCTTCCTTTTCTGAAATCATCAAGGCAACACAATGTGTTTTTCTTTACTGCCTTCTTATATTATTCTTAAAATAAAAGGAAATGGCAAAAAAAAAAAGAGAAAGAAAGAAAGAAACCAGGAACTTTCTCTTTGCTTGTCTGAACAGATGATGTTCCTCAGACAAGCCAAACTTTGGATGTTGGATATTCACACCATATGCTAAGGAGGACAGAAACCATCTGGACTACAAACCTTGGATCAATCGGATGTTTGGCCATTACCAAATGGAAGAGATTCTAAGTTCTCAGATTCTCAACAAACTCGGCTCAGAAGTGAAACAGACTTCTAGCACAAAGGATTCTTGGGGGAAAAAACAGACGTTTGGTATCCTTAGGATGCGTCTCCTTCAGGAACTTGATCCACAGCATCTAAGACATGTGTTATATGGTGCAGAGACGTTGTCTACACCAGTGTTTCTCAACCTTGGCCACTTTAAGAAGGGTGGACTTCAGCTCCCAGAATTCTGGGAGTTGAAGCCCACCCATCTTAAAGTGGCCAAGGTTGAGAAACACTGGTCTACACAGATCCCCACCTGCTTGATGGGAATAGCAGCAGGAAAGTGAACCCCATTCAACCTATACGACTGAAATCTACTTCTATTAAAATGCCGGTATATGCCACTAATATGGTTTGATTAAGCAATTTGGTGAATGGCATGGGAAAGATGAGCGTATTCCAGAAGAAAGGTTACCCGCGTTGTTCTATCCATCAGCAGACATTATCAGCAGCAATAAACAGCAAAATGTTTAAAAAGCTCATTATAATGTTCACTTCTGCACTGTTTCCAAGAAACGAACTTAAATCGTTAGCTAATGCACTTCTTACGTGAACGTTCAGACCGAAGCGTGAAAGTGCGAAAAATAATTTCGTCCTATGTGAAGGCACAGCTAACGATGAAGAACATTCAGAGGTGCATGTGATCATTCAGGTAATGTTTAAAGCAAAGCTTTCTGAGAAAAGAGAATGAAAAACTAATCTTAATACCCACATGATGGTTTTCCAAGAAATACGCCTGATACCACTGTAAAAAAATGCCGGATGCCAAGAGCACCACTGACAAATGTTTTTCAACTAGAACATACTATTTAAAATTTTCATTCTGATTTGCCCCCACCTAGTTCACCTGGGAGGAAAAGAAACCCATCGAAAGAAGAAAGGTGAGACTCGTTTTCCAGACTTTTAGTACTAATTGCAGAGATCTTCATGGAAAGGCTTCTAAAGTAGTTTCATAATAATAGCTCTCAGCATTCTACAAAGACTCACGTTCCCCAGAGAACTCCATTCAGTTACTTGACTTTTATACCTCTGACTACTGAAGTCTCTTGGGCAGTTTACATTAAAAACATGAAATGGGCATTACGAAATAAACAGAATTAAAACCAAAATTAAAACCACCCCATAATTAACACCCTGTTGAAGAGCATGCCTTTTTCAAAAGCCAGCCAAGACGCTTTGGCAAAACTGGGAATGAACCAAACCAATCGCGCTGACTGTCATCAATTTCTAAGTGCCCCCACTTTTATCTTGATAAGCTACATATAATGGCTATTTTGCCTTCTCTCTGTGACAGAGAGAAGCACTCAACTGGGAACAAGTTCGATCGATCGATCGATGGAATCTTTTGCATCAATGTTTCACATGATCCCTAGCTAGACCTTTCCTTTCAGGTGTCTTAATATCGACACTCGATCCCTTCCTAAATGTTCTGAGCACATGGCGTGCAGGATTCAAGTCCTTACCCTGAAATTACCAGCTATTATTATTTCCTACTGAATTCAGAACAGGGAAGAGTGCCAAACCAGTCTGTCCTATTTTATATACCATCTCTGTAGCTACTAAGCAAGCGGATTGGTTTAGAACTGGGATTCCACCATCTTAGAAGGTCACTTCCTAGGTTGTGGGGCCAGCCCCGGCAAAGGTTATTATTCCAACGTTGTTCCACCTACAAAGCACCATCCATCTTATACAATGTGACCCTGTATTTAAACCACTCACCTGAACCTCAACAAGCATCGCCATGTCCATAAACATTTCATGCAGCTCCTGGATGCTTGATTCCAGTTTTATAATATCTTTATGACGTGACTCAATTTCATCGAGAGCCGCTCTGGTCATTTTGGTGTCCAAAATAATCTTTGCAAGGTAAGAGGAAGGAACAGATATTAAATAAATACACTTACTGCTATTTTTTTTTTTAAGACAGAACAGAATTTGTAGACATTCAGATTTAAAGTTTAATTCGTTTCTACTGGACAACGCGTTGTGGTCTTTCAGACCCAAAAGATGTGAAAGCCACCAAATGAGGGTTTGAAATACGTACGTCAGAAGTGAAAATGGAAAGGTTGCCACTTTCCAACATGTCTTCCAGTTCCTCGTCGGTTGTGGTTTTTCCAGCTAGCGAAAAAACACAGAGATCATTTTCTTACAAGGCACATCATCGCCCTTTCTCTGGCATATATTTTTGCTGCAACGCATTTGTAAGATAGGGCAGATCCTGCAGAGTCAGGAAAAATGAGTAGGGAGGATCACTCACTTATTTCTAACTGCCGCCGTATCTGATCTTTTGTACGTTCCCGAAAGACGGTCTGGGTTCTGTTGTATGTTGTCATAACATCCACAAACTTCCGGGTCAACACCGAATGCTGGGGGGAGATGTCGAGGGAGTTTGCAAAAGTAATTCTGAGAATTCTTGTACATACTAAAGGCCTTTTTAGACATTACTAAAATGGACAGGCAGACACAGGGTTGCAAATGTTTACTGAAAGGAGAGGTATAACGCTTAGCCTCTGTCCCTTCACCCCAATCACATGCATATCTGTCCTATCCAGAAAACTGAGGATTACTTCAGTGCAACATATGAGGGACTATGAACAGCTATCAGCTATAGAACTGATATAATGGGAAGAAGGAATAACCTTGAGGAACAGGAGGAAGAGCCTCAACCAAGACAATGGTCAGACAAAAGAAAACTGAGTTTGGGGCAGAAATGTAATTTGAGAAAGTGCCTCAGACTTGACCCTCGCTAGTTCTCTTGTAGATTAAGGGAGGGAGGGAAGAAGCACATCCAGATCTGCAAAATTCTGTTATTATAACCTTATAATAAAAGTAGTATTAGCTTACATGTCTCTGGTTTCCATGTTTGGTCTACCTTGGAGGGCTGACATCTACAGAATCAGCCTAGGTAAGTGCAACATATCTCTGAACACCAGGCATTAGGACCAATGAAAGAAAACAGCAGCCACTCCAGGCTTTAGCCTTCCGCAAAACAACAATTAGGCCACTACTGGCAGTAAGAATGGCGGCCTATATCCAACAGAGCTTCTTGTTTAGTCAATTCAGCAATTCATTTCTTTGCTTTTTAACAAGGGCCTAGACACCCCTCTCTATGCCATGTTGGACACTGCAGAAGAGCAGGATGAAAACAAGAATGCCTTGCAGTGCTTTTCCTCGTGGCAAGATAAGCAAGTTCAAGATGCAGCCTGCAAATTCTCTTCTGGAGCACGCATACATCCTTCTCTTTGAAACCAGATCCAAACAAAATGCAAGCCATGAGTTTCCTTTCTTACTCCTGAGGAAGTTCTAAACATTTCCTCTTTCTTATGTTTCCCAATAACCATCAGATTGGGTGGTAGTTCGCCAAGACTGACTTAGAAATACATTTGCTACTTGTACCTGTGATTTTCGTATCCGGACATCTGCCGAAGTTCGACTAATATTCTCCTCTCGAGCTAAATTTTGTTCCATGGCTACGAAACAGACAAAACCATCTCAGAGGTAATAAGTCATTACCCCTCATTCCCAAATATAAAAAAGATTTTTTAAACTTCCTACAAAACAAATAAGTAAGAGGAGGCACACGGAACAAGAATTATTTCCAAATCCTTTACCAGAAGTAGCCATAGGAAGCCCCTGTATTTTCTTCCATTGCAGTCAAGAAAATATCTTCATGAGATATAAGATACAATGTTTTACATCTGTGTGTATGTTTGTTTTCCCCTAGTCTTGCAACTGTGTGTGTTTATGTAATGGTATGTGGAAAAGACCTTGGGAGAGAGGGTGAAGAGATGCTGCCAAGAGAATGGTCAGATAAGAGACAGCATAGCCCACAGCTGGATAATGGGCGAGACAAGAGGCTCAAAAGAGACTCTCCCTAGTTTCTAGGGCTGTAAAGGAGATGGGGGGGGGGGAAGAATTGTACTTTCAGACTTACAAGATTGATGTTGGCCTCATGGGGTAAGCCACATAGGAATCACAGCCAGATGAGTTAATTCTACTTTATTGTAAAGCTACATTGACAGAATCTTGCAAGTATGAAAGTATATTTTTAAACTCAATCTTTCTTTGGCCTGCTTCTCCCCCAACACCAAATTTGGTCCCATTCTGTTCAGTTTTCAGAGAATTATCCTGCTAGTGGCCAGTTCCCAGAACCCCTTCCCATAATTCTTTTCCAACACATTAGATTAAATCTAAAAGCTAATGTCTCTGTAGAGAGCAGAACCTAGCCAACTTTCTTGGGCTTAGAAGAAAAGCAGGGTTGGTCCTGGTAAATAACTGGATGGGAGAGTGCCAGTGAATATCAAGGCTGAAGACTAGACTTCAAGTTTAAAAAAATCCAGAATACAACAATGATAAACAATTTCTATGCTGTTGCCAAGAAGGATGCCTATACGAAGTCACTAGGAGTCCAGACATACTTGAAAAAGACTTCTTTTTGAGGAAATGGTAAACTTATTCTCCAATGCTGGTCAATCAATTACATATAAATTAATTAGTACCACTGATAGTCTTGTATTAATCATGACAATTAAGCACATAGAGAACATGGTCAACAGGATAATCTATATATGACTGTAGCAAACATCTTTTTCTGGTTCCTTCATAAAAATTGCTATACAATGTATGCTTTATTGCTTAGGAGTTTTTATTTTACTCTCAGTTAAGGTATACTTACACTTCAATTTAGCACGGACTATATTTGCTGTTTTTCTGATTTCTTTGTTCAGTTCTTCGAGTTCTTCCTTCGTTTCTTTAACAAAAGGAGAAATGGGAACCCTGCTTAAGAGCTCTTTTTGATGAAGAATGCTTCCCAAACTCCATTGCAAATATTACGTGTGACATACACCTCCCACTGAAGATGCAGTGATGTTCCCACTAGAGGCTGCTGGAATTAGGGAATTTCTGAACTAGGATGGACAACACCATGTTCATGAGTCAAGAGCATGTCACCCAAGCTTTTAGCAGACTGTTTTCCATGGGTGAAGAACAAATGATGAAGCCACCTAGTAAAAGGCACCCAAATTTTGTTCCATATTTCAGATTCAGTACTGATCTCTTTTTCCTTCTACTACTGAAGGAAAAAGGGTCCAAAGCACTACAGTTCAAAAGAGTTATCCATGTTGCACCCTGATCAACAAATTAACATTGGAGGCTGTCTCTGTAAACTGCCTGAACCCCTACATGGATTTCAGGGTCTTTTCTTAGTCTTCTGGAACTCTTGACACCAATGCAAAAAAATCACCGAAAGGATCCCCACCCACCAGCTATTGCAACACAGGAGAACTTGCTTCCTTTTTCCTGTTCAAAACAATTTGGCTTTATCTCCCAGTACTCTTCAGTAGAGTTCATGGGATACGTACTTTTGCCTCCAGCCACTTACCACAAGAGTTTATGGGTAAGCATATATATCTCCTTCAAGGTTAAGGTTACACCTCCTGAAGAAGCATCTTAATTTCTTTCCTCTTGGAGTAATATTCCCAATATTGTAGATCCCTCTGCTGAGCCCCTAATGAATCCAGGAGCACAGAGTCCTAGTGATGACTTTCCTCTCTGCTTCTTAGGGTGATTCTTATCACCTTAAAAATCTATGAGTAGAGAATACCTGAAGTTGTAATCCCTGGACAGCACTTAAAAATGTTAAAGTGCTTTATATGCCGTTGCGGAATCAAAACGCAGGACTCCAATGCAAAATAATCAAGGCTTTACTGTAGGGTTCATTAGACAGTGAGCACTGGAGGGGACCCACCAAGGGTTAGGGGGAGACACCCCCCTGCAGGCAAAATGGATACCCTGATATTTATACATTTCTACGAGAAGGAGAAGGAAAAAGAATGCATACACATAGACATTCATGTGATGTTACAGGCATATATCAGTAAGCAACAGAGCTCAAGTTATTTTCTGCCCCCTCTTCTTCTCTCATCCTCCTTCGAGACAGATACCTTGTGTATTTGCCTCTTCTTGCCTACTATCTTCAAGGAAAACAATAGCCTTACTAAGAGGAAGTAACAAGTTAGTTCAAGGTGCCAAATGCCAGGAAGAACTGCGAGACAGATGCCTTGTGCAATGGGATGTTCGTGATGAGGCTTTGAGATGAGGCTTTTTACAATCACCCCAGTTCTCACCAGCTGGATAAATTCTTTACAACCAGCCAGCCGCAAGGGTGCTGCGCATTCCTTTATATTTCAATTTTATTAAGGCGATTCCATTCATCTCAGGCCTCTAAAAACTTCCTTCCTTCACCCAAAGATGTATTTTCCTCGTACGATAATGATCGTTCCAGCTGATTGTACAAGAGAACAGCAGCAACGCACTTACACTTCAAAGAACCACAAACATCCATTTGAACGCTGAAGCTTTTTTTTTTTTTTTTAAATAAAACTATGTTTGTCCCTTTGCAACCCCCAGTCAAACAGCCGTACCATGCACGGCTTGCATGACTCTGGAGACTGCTGCATACCGTATTTAGCTCATTCTATACATGAATCTAAGAGCAGAGAGCTAAAATTAACTCAAATTACAACTGCTAGAGTAAACAAGTAGATTTTTAAAGGCTTGAGTTAGTGGTATTCAGTCCTGTTATACAAGGTTCTAATTCCTTCCCCAGTGAGAAAGGATATTTTCTTGGAAGACTTACTGATTTCAGTGGAACACGATTCTTCCATTGCAAACCTGAAGTCTTTGAGTGCTCTAGGGTAGAAATAGTTCACCATTTTGATTTTTTTGATTGAGTCCTTGGCCATATAGAGTGAGCTTATCAGGAAGTCAAAAAGTATGTAGTGAAACCTCAATTTAATAGGTCAATTAGGGCAGGGTTC